AGTTAACCTTTTGCCTCTGCTTCCCCAAATCTTTGAGAGAGGGTCTCATTACATAGTCTAGGCTGGCTTTGAACTCTTCATCCTCTTGCCTTAGCCTCCCAACTGCTGGGCATTACAGGTATAAACCACCATGCCCAGCTTTCCAAATCTCTTAAACAACAGATACCCCAAAAGCCTGGCAGCAAAACTTGGTTAGAACTCATTAAAATTATATGTAGTCTTCATCCCACTTAAGAGTAAAAATTAACACAATTTGCTTCAAAAATATTAATGCTGAGTTATAGAATGTCACACTAAGCCTCACTGGATATATTATGAACATAAACTATATTACCTTAGAAAATTTTTGAAGTCTGGAATACTGAGAAATATATCTGGCCTCCAAGGATTTGAATAAAGAACTGTGGACGTTCTTTTCAGTTTTGATTGATCAGAATCACCTGTGGGCTTAATAAAAATATTGGTTCCTAATCTTTGCAATCAAACCTGGGATGAGAATTTTTTTTATAAGCACTTCTCAGATGGTTCTTATGTGACCAGCCCAACACCATCCTGGGAACGAATCACAGATCTAACTAATTAGCTAACATTAGCCAACCTCTTTAACACCTGCCCACAAAGTAAGGCAGTAGGTGATAGTGTTAATATTTTTCTATCAGGACTAGTTTGGTAACTTGTAAACCTTGACTAAGGGATTTTCTCATCAATCTCTTACTCCTGTCACAATGTAAGTATGCAGGAAAGTAAACTTTTTTCTAAGACAGCATCTAAAGAATATGTTGATGTGAACATTTTAATCTGTGTCTTCTCCTTGACAACAATGCTTAGGGGGGAAAAAAACACAAAACAGCTATATCTAGGCATTTCTCTTGTCTTACAGAATTCTCCTAACTGGTAGAAATCTATACAAAACAATGTCTGAATATGCAGTTGGATGTTCTGTTCTTGATAATAGGAGCTAAAATTTCTGGACATGATGGGAGTATTGCCATTAAAGAGAAACTAGATTATGGATCTGGTTTTAAAAAAAAGCAGAAAAGCATGAATTTACAAAACTAGAATCTTAGTTCCAAACCAGGGAATGAATCAAGGTTACAGATTATATGTGGTATAATTCTAAGCCACAAGGCTGGGCTGGGCTGGGCTGGGCTGCAACTGATTTGAAGAGCTAAAATTCTGAGGCTGAGGCAGGACAATCATTAGTTTGGGTCAAGTATGGGAAACTTAGGGAGATCCTCTCTCAAAAAAATCAAAAGGACTGGGGATATAGCTCAGTGGTAGAATGTCCTTGGGCTCAAATCCCAGTACAAGAAAAAGAAAAATTTTAATCTGAAGCCAAAAGTTAGAAAGTTTACTTTACCTAGAAACCAGAAAACAAGGATAAACTAGCTAAGCTCACTTCAAAGTACATTATAATTTTAAAAACTTTTTCTAATGTACAAGTGATTTACCTTTACAAACTTCTACAAAGCAGTGGTACTCAACACTGACTATAAATTAGAATCATTCTAGGAAATGAGGCTCAAACCCTCAAACACACAGGAATCATATAGGAATCCTGTGACTCAGCAGGCCTGAGAGGTACAACCTGAGTCTCACAAACTCTCCAATCATCCTTACAATCGTTAGTCCTCAGAAAACACACTAGCAAGAAGCCAAAGAACTTCTAAATTCACATGCCTACATTCACTCTGTGGAAATCCTAACTGATTAACAGATACTCTCTAGGTACTGGTGCCTATAAGTCTCCTTAGTGTTTCTTACATACAGGTAGTGAGCACTGCTACAAATCATTATTCATATTTTATAGATGGGGGCTCCAGTTCTAGATGAGAGAATACAGAAGCAACACCCCCATCTTGTCCACTAATTATAACTAAAAATCTTGGAGAGAATACATTAAAGCAAATACGCAAGGACCCTGAAAATAAAGCAAGAAGACTGGGAAGAGAAATCAAAACTCAAAAAGCAGTAAGTTGGTTTTTATTTTTCCTCTCACACATGCCAAATTAGACTTGAAAGTCCAAAGCTTTAACTGAACAGTAGGTGGAGACAAAAAAAAAAAAAAAAAAACAAACCTCCCAGAGAAACTTACTGGATAGACTACCAGGAAAGAGGATGAAGGGGAGAAAAAAGGGTTTTTCTGGTTACTTTTTCTTCTCAGCTGACTCAAAATAAGCTCGTTTTGAGGCTACACATGTATGGCTGGTGCCTACCACCTAAGCTCACAAAATTTTGGCAAACACTGGGAAAGAGAATGATCCAAAAAGTATGAAGGTAAAACATGTCCCCCACCCCTGTCTCTAACAGTACTTTATTCAGGAAATGAACCCACCTTTGGCAAGTGTATGACCGCACTGAAAGGATTAAATCCATTTTCTAGCCAGAAAACCACAAAAAGGAGCTCCTAAGAGCATGAGTGCAAAGGAAATCAGAAGGGAGCTGCCCTGACTCACGGCTGCATAGTAAAGGCTTTATGGTATAGAGTACCACTTAGGTTCCACACTGGGGACCAGGAGAGCACCTCAAAGGTTTTCAAAACTACAACAGAACTGGATCCACAGACTGAAGAGCTTGAACCTGACCTGACTGATTGCCTCTCAACAAAATAAAAACATTTCCCAGAGACTTCCAATGGCACCTAGTCTTGTAACATGGTGTTGAAGATGTCCACGACACGATCCAAAAATATTTGACATTTTAAAAATTAAAAAAAAAAAAAGTAGTAGCAAAGATGTCCAAGGTCACACAACTGACAAATAGTAAAGCTAAAACTAAAACTAAAAATTTCTAGTTATATGCCTGGGGTTTTCTTTATAGCTAGATGACCTTGCTAAACAGAAAAGCAATTCCTTTGTTTGGGGCATAAGACATTAGCAAAATTCATTCTGTGAACATGAATCTGGTCAAACAACAAAATGTTTTCCATTTTACTTCATTAGTCTGCAGTTTAAATATTGAAGGCTTATGTGTGCAATATTATAACAGACATAGCAGGTCAGAGGTACTGAGAAGCACACAAGAAAATTCCAAGGTGAACGGTGTTCAGAAAGATCCACTACTTCCAATGTCTTCTTTCCACTTGGGATGAATATTCCAGCCCTGGCTATTTAAAGATTTTTTTAAGATACTGCAGAAATGAGTTCTTCTTTGAAATCATTCTTATGTAAAGTAGTCCAAACTTCTTTTCCCCTCTCAGTGATACCATTCCACACTAACAGTCTGTACCTTTTTCTATTCATTTCTTTACCTGTTGATAGTACATTTTCAAATTCCTTAAGGCATGTCTTATTTTTATTTTCTTTATAGTTTTCACTTTTTATTGGGGATGTTATATTCATCAATTCTTCAGCACCTTGGTCTAACATAATACACAACATACGTACAGTAAGTATTCAATGTGACAAACACCTTCCATTACAAACACAATGCCAGCCACTCTACCTACATTATTTTAACTGATCATTACAAGCCTATTAACCCAAGCTTCGTAAGAGACAGGAACACAACTGAGGTAAAGTAACCTGCCTGAGGACATTTAACAAGCCTCAGGTGAATGGATTGATGGGAGTCTCTCATTGTAGTAAAACCAATACAATTTAGGCAACCAGATTTTAATTTTAGTAAGCTGCATGAAATTCCAATTATGCCTATGCTATCTCCCTTACAAACACTCAAAAGATTACTTATGAATTTATCAACAACTTGAATCTCCTTTTTGCTCTTTTGCAGTCTTCCACTGCCATGAACTGTTGCCACTCTGCCATACCACCCTGCATTAGAGCCAGCCAATTATGGACTGAAACCTCTACAAATTGAGGTAAACCTTCCCTCCTTGAAAAAAGAAATTGGAACATATCAAAATAAAAAGATACTCTTAACTCTTTGCTTTCTTTTTTCCCCTAGGCATCTCATTTTTCCAAGGGAATACTGTTTCTAGGCAACCTACTCATAACAAAAAGTACTCGGTGAGAGAATAAAACCAAAAACTCAACAACACTGACAGAAGTTAAGAGTCTATATTTATGTAGACAAATTGATTTATTTCCTAATTTTGGATTTTGGTGTAAGAGGGGTTGAGGAAAAGAGTACCCTACCAGCAAAAGATAAAAGAATGGCAAGTAAGAGTACAAACTGAGTCTATTCCCAAGTGAGCAACCTTGGGCAAACAATCTTTTGGAATTTGTTCCATGGTGTATAAATTGGAAATGGAAAATCCAAAGATTAAAGTGAGCCGCAAATAATTTACACACTACACTGCACAATGCTTGGCACTTGGTAAGCAACTAGAAAAAATGTCAACTACAAAAACCATCTTTTGGGGCTGGGGATTTAGTTCAGCAGCATAAGTGCCTGCCTTGCAAGCAGGCAGTCATGAATTCGATTCCTGGTACCGATAAAAAAACAAACAAAAAACCCACACACTTTTTGTTTCAAACTATACCTGAGGACTGTTTGTACCTTAACACATACTATAGCAGCTAGAATTCCTCTGGATGCTACTTTAGTTCATCCTTCCTAGTCTTTTCCTTATTTTTGCAGTCTATTTCATCCTGTGCATGTTGTCTGCACCTCTGTTACCATATCATTACTGCTACCAGTACAATAACTTAACAGCATTCCTACCAGTCTGTAACATAAACCCATTAAGAGATGGGTTTAGAGCCAGGCGTGGTAGTGCATCCCTGTAATTCCGGCACTTGGGAGGCTGAGGCAAGAGGATCACTGTTTTAGGATAGCCTGGGCTACATAATCTATTTGAAGGCCAGCCTGTACAATGTAGTGAGACCCTGTCTCCAAAAAGCAAAACAAAAAATTGCTACTTTACTAATAGATGACTGGTCCTTTTAGACCTGAAAACCCATCATCTCAAACAGCTTTTCCTGGTCACTCATTCTAGTAGGCACTTTACTGAAAATTCTTGTGCCTCCAAAAACCAATTTGGCTTACTACCACACCAATTATGTTCATTAAATATTATATTTAAAACAAGCACTCACCTTCTATTTCCACCAAAGGTTCCTGAGTAAACTCTTGAAAGAATTTGTAGAAGAACTTACTGCAAGCAGCTAAAACAGCCTTGTGGGCCTTAAAATGGTGCCCTAAGTTAGGAAGAAAAAAAAAAAAAAAAAGGGAGCGGGGGAGTTATACCTATGCACAATAAAATGAAAGGTAAAACGAAGTAAAATAGCTCTTTCCTCACAATATAGTTACCTGTCTAGAGAAATTACTGAAGCCAAAACAAAATATTATCAACCACCTTGGCAAATTTGAAGTCAAATCTTTATTTCAAAGACTTTCAATCCATTTTTACAAAGGCTGATTTACTACACAAGGAACCTCCCAGAACAGTGGTGGTGAGTCAATGGCTCACATACAGCAGCAGTCCGTTATCTTTGAAAGTTCTAAAAGGTTTGTCATCACTATCTTAAACCTTTGTTACCTTGAGTTAAGTACAAGAATCATATCCTACCCAGTTTATAGTGTAATATATAAAAAAAGACAATCCAAAATGTCATACATCATTTGGACAAAAAAAGAAAGAAAGAAAAGAAAAAAGAAAACCAAACCACAGAATAGGTTAGACCTACTCTAGGGTAGACCTACAGTAACAGCTTCTTTAAATAGTGGATTTCCACTAATTAGCCAATACAGGCAAGCTGGGTTAGCCTCAATTATAATAACTAAGATTGGTAAAGACCCCAATTTACTAAAAGGGTACACAAGTGCAGCCAACTTTTCTCTCACGTTCCCCCCCCCCCCAAGACCACCTGGAAAGCTGGAAGGCTGGAAAGCAAACACTTCCCAAATGATCGATGAGGGACTCCTCAAAGCAGTTTACTAACAGAAGAGAAAAACCAAGAATTTTAAGACATCCTCCTCATCTATTAGCGAAACATTCTCAAGTAACTTCTCAAGCCCATTATTAAGTGTGCAATGAGAAAAACTTCAATAGACTCCAAGAACTAAAAATGCAATGGACAACAGCCTATGGTGAAAGCAGGGCCAGCCAACCAGCTTTCTGCAGCATGGTCTGTGTCAGCGGACACTGTCAAAGGCCCTCCAGTTCCAGTTTAGACTTTGGTAGGGAGCCCATAGACCATGGTTTAAAAAAAAAAAAAGGCGGGTGTCGGAAAGAATTGAAGACACGAATTCGCTTCTCTGTCCTACCCACCGTCCACAATCAGGGTGATATCGGTAAAGCGGTCCTGCTCTCGCTGCTCATTCAATCGGTCCAAGATCATTTTGTGATGTTCAGGGAACTCCTGAAGGCATTCCATCGTCTCTTCAGCCTCCATGGCCGTCGGGTTGTTCTACAAAAGAGGCGCATGATAATGTTCACCCATGAGCTCGGGCTGAGAAACAAAACCTCCAAAGCATGAAACAACGACAACAAAAACACCCCCAGAAAGGTGAAAAGAAAGGGGGAAGGTGAGGCAAGAGAAGAAGGCGAGGAAAGAAAGAAAGGCAAGCTGAGTGGCCGCTGCGCGTTGCGGGCCGGAGCCGCGGCCGTCGGACTCCGAGCCTGACCTAATTGGAGTCGGGAGACGCGAGCTGGAGCGGGGTGGGCACAGCGCCGGAGGCTCCGGGCGCCTGGGCGCGCAAGTCCAGCAAGGGAGGGGACCGGCAGTCGCGGCGGCTAACGGCCCGCCAAACCCTTCCGCCCGGCCCGGGCTCCCGCCGCCCGGGACCCGGTCCGGCCCACGGCCCAAACGACTCCTGGGTCGCCTCTACCTCCCCGGCTCTCTCTTTTCTCCCCCGCCCCGATCGGGCCGGCACTCACTCAGGGAAGGAGGAGCGGGCCAGGCCTACGCATCACTTACGTCGACGTACTGCGTCACCGCGTCGGGCTCCGGAAGACGCAGACGCCTTCCTAGCGCTAACCAGTGATGGGATGAGCCACGCTCCCAATCCGTGATATAGGGGGCGGGGCCATCTGAGACATATTTGGCGCTCACAGAGGGCGAGGCCGCGCCCTTTTTCCTGCGGTGGCGCTAGGTCGGTGCAGGGCTTTGCTAGACTGAAGGTGGGGTACCTAAATTGCCGCCTTTCCACCCTCCCATGGCTCCCTCACTTGACTCATATGTGAGTGTTTCCTCCCGGAATTCAGAATACACTTGCTGACCATCCCGGAACGCTTGTATTGCGCGCCTCCCCCAGCCACGCCCCACCCCGCCCACTCCTGGGCCTTGGGCCGGCCCTCCTCACCCTAGCTCGCAGGGCGTCCTCCACTGGCTTTCCGGGTTTTCCCCTCCCGGGGCATGGATCGCACTGGTCTCGTCCGTTTCCGAGTTGCGGCTCACTCCCCATTTTCCCCTCGGGGGCCAGCGTGCCTTGCCGCTCGGGCCTACACGTGTGCTCGCCGGGACTTCCAGCGGCGCTGCGTCGGGGGCACGAGTACGTTGGGGCGCCGGGCTTCCTTCCCGGGGCGCGCCCTCGCTGCGCCGGCCGCACACGTGTTTGCTGGTCTCTGAACGCGCATCTTCTGGGAATCACACGTGATGCTCTAGCTACACCTCTCCAGGCCCCCACCTCCGCCCTGTTAAACTAGTGATCCTTAATCCCCGCGGGTGATTGCCTTACTCATCCCTATAGTGTTTGAATTTTACTTAGACTTTTCTCGAAGTTTGAGAGTGAGGGTAAATAACTGTTAAAGAGTGAATAATCATGGTTTTAACAGACTTGTTTTGAGAGCCAGCTGTATGCTAGACACTGTTTAAGGAAGTCGGAAACCCTGCGGTGAGCACAGTACATGTAGTTTCTACATTCTTAGTCTGGTAGAGTAGTTAAAACCTTGAACAGTAATTGCCTAGAGTCTGACTATTGAGAGTTAGGACGTGAAAAATAAGGTAATGGGGGAGGAGGTTCAAGGAAAACCAGTGACATAAGAGGTATGACATACGTGGTTTTAGCCAAGGATATAGTATATGCACAGGTGCCAGGATTACAGTATGCCTGGATTGGAAAGAATGTTGCGGGACAGATCTACAAGGTATGGTACTTGTAAGCAGTGTTACATTTTCTTAACCAGAAGGTGGAAGCTTTAGAGGTTGAGCCAGGAAAGAAGATGGAGACAGGGACAGTTTCTAAGAGATAACTAAGTGGAGATGATAGATGTGAAAAGAGGCGTTTAGGTATATGGACCTGCTTAGGGGAAAGACCTAACCTTAAAGAAAGATTTGAAGTTTTTCGGCATAACAAGAATGTTAAGACATAGGAGAATCTGTTTAAGGAGAATCTGCAGTGTGATAGCTTAGCAAGCATGTAGGTTGGCTTGATCTATTTTTCTAAAAAATATTGTCATGATTCATTCAAATTTATAAGATAAATTGCACGTAAGAAATGAAGGTTTTGAAAAATTCAGTAGATGGAGCAGGGCGTGGTAGCTCACGCCTGTAATCCCAGCACTCAGAAGGCTGAGGTGGGAGGATCATTTCGAATTCAAGACCAGCCTGGACTACAAAGTGAGCTCGAGGCGAGCCTGAACTGCATAGCGAGATCCCGTCTCAAAAAAGACAGAAAAAAAAAAAAAAAGAAAAAGAAAAGAAAAGAAAAAAAAAGAAAAATTCAGTAGATAGAGCTGTACAATTAGACCAAACCAGAAAACCTCTTTTTATGGGGTCTGACGTATGTAATTCATCTCAGTCCCCGCCACTTTCAAAAGTCTTAGACTCAGCATATAGCATTCATTTTGTTGCTTCCCTAGCCTCTTATTATATTGAGTTTTCCGCTCCTAGTTTTTACAGGGTCCAAGTGGAGAGCTCAGGACTTCATCCCTGAGAAGTAGTAAAAATAGAAGAGCCCTTGAGGACTTAATATTACAACTGGAAGAAGATGGAAAACCAAAAGAATATGACCTCAAGAAGGCCACAAGAGAAGAATGTCTCAAAAGCATGTACCAAATAGTGCCAATGGTCAAGTGTCTTAGATATCTTTAATAGAAGATCTTAGAACAAATTTAGTGGAATTCTTGGTATAGGGGTTGGGGTTCTGAGAAGTCTATATCCAAGTAGGTTAAGGAATAGTTAGGAAAAGAAATTGTTAGGGCAATTAAAAAAACTATGTAACAGGGAAAAGAGAAGAAGTACTTACAAAGGATGATGGGTCAAGGCAGTTTTAGTATTAGTGTGTATTTATTTTTAGATAGGGAAAACTTAAACAATTTAAATGTTGATGGAGAAAGATCTGAAAGGAAAATCATTTGGTGATTTTTTTAAAGAAAAGGATTAATTATGCAAGAAGGATTGCTGGATCAGATGCTCTTTTTTTTTTTTTTTATCTTTTTTGGTACGAGGGATTGAACTCACAACTCCACACTTGCAAGGCAGGTGCTTATGCCGCTGAGCTAAATCCCCAGCCCCAGATCAGATGCTCTTAAGACTAGATTTGATTGCAAGAAGTTGAGGAAATTCCTATATAACTGAAGGCTTATTTTTCACATAAGAAGGTGAGCATGTCATGTACTAAAAGCTAAAATTACAAAAAGGGTATGTGTGTGTTGGGGATAGAGGAGAATTTTGAAATTGGAAGATGTATTGTGTTATCTAAGGCTATGCAGTGAATTACTCCTCAAAGTGTAGTGGCTTAAAACAATGATTGTGTGTGTGTGTGTATTTGAGACAGAGTCTCACTATGCAGGGTGGTCTTGAACTCACTTTGTAGCTCAGGCTGGTCTTAAGCTTGCAACGATGCTCCTGCCTCAGCCTCCTCAGACCCCTATGAAAAAAATGATTTTTTCATAGTCAGTGAGTCAGAAATCTGAGTATCACATAGTTAGGTTCTCAGGATCTTTCACAAGGTTTCAGTCATGGTATTAGCTAGGACACAGTACTAGCTAGATCATCTCAAGTTTTTTGACTAGGAGCTGGTTTGTTTCTGTGGTCAGTGTTATGGGTTGAGTCTGATATATTTCCCATGCATAAGCTCTTGTATTAAAGGCTTGGTCCCTTGGCTGGGGATTTAGCTCAGCGGCATAAGTGCCTGCCTTGTGCACATCGTCATGAGTTCGATCCCTGGTACTGATTAAAAAAATAAATAAATAAATAAATAAATAAATAAAGGCTTGGTCCCCAGTACAGTAGTGTTGAGAGGTGGGACTTTTGAAAACATTATTAGATCATGAATGCTCTCATCTGAGTGGATTAACCACCTGTTTCATAATATGATAGCATTACTGGGAAATGGTAGAAACTTTGGGCAGGGTCTGGTTGGAGAAAGCAGGCCATTAGGGGTATGTCCTGCAAGGTTTATGTCCTTAGTCCCTTACCTCCTCTCCTCTCTCACTGTCTTCTGGCTACCATGAGGTGAGCTGTTTGCTTCACCATATTCTCCCACCATGGGCCTGTTTCACTACAGGCCCAGAAGTAGTGGAACCAACTGGCCATAGACAAACCTCTGAAATTAAAAGGAAAGTAAACATTTCCTCCTTTAAATTGATTTTTTTCCTTTAAATTTATTTTGTCACAGCAGTGAAAAGCTGACATACTCAAAAGACTTTTGACAGAATTCAGTTCGTAAGGGGCTGTGAGACTAAGGCTTCCTTCCATGGCAGATTCTTCATAGAGTACCACAGCTAGATTTTGTCAGAGAGAGCAAATGAAATGACAGAGTAGAAGAAAAGTCAAAAGGTTTCTGTATTTGTGTTAGCCAGCTTTCTGTTACTGTAATAAAATCATCCATTTTTTTCTTTTTCTTTTTTTTTTTTATTGGTACCAGGGATCAAACTCACGACCAGGCACTTGCAAAGCAGGCGCTTATGCAGCTGAGCTAAATCCCCAGCCCCCATAAAATCATCCATTTTTTAAAAGGAGGAGTTTATTTTGGCTCACAGTTTTGGGGATTTCAGTTCATGGTCAGTTGGTACCTGTTGTGGCTTGTATCTGGTGTTCCCCCAAAGTCTATGTGCTCATAGCTGGGTCGGGGTATATGGATATGGGTTACGGATGTATGGTGTAATTCTGGGTGTGGATAATGGAAGCCCCACCCTGGTTGTTTGTGGCACCAACACTTACATGGAATGTAAAGGAAAGGGAGGCTCACTGTTGCCGCCTCCTGTCTGCCCTACTGTGGTCTGTTTTTCCTCTGCCATGCTCCTCAGCATGCTGCCTTGCCTTGGAGCTGATTATGGACTGAAATTTCCACAAACTGAGCTAAAAATAAACCTTTTCTCCTTTAACTTGTGGGCATCAGGCATTTTGTCCTAGCAATGAAAAAGTAACTATTAAAAGTAATTTTAAAAAGTAACTCTTGTCCCCCTTTCTTCTGGTCCTGTGATGATGCAGAACATTATGGTGGAAAAAGCTCCTTGATTTCATATCCAGGAATGAAAAATGGGGCAAGAGGCTAGATTCCCCAGGTGCATGAAGGCCATGCTTCCAGTGACCTCTAAAATCCCCATCAGGTCCACCCTTTAAAGTTCCCACCACTTTCCAGTCGTACCAAGTGAGGTCCATTGGGGACATTAGGGGCCTTTCCAGACTCAAACTGTAGCATCCTAATTACAGTAGTAATATTCCATCACTTTTGCCATACACTATTTTTGGAGCAAGTCACCAGGCCCAGTCCACTTGCAAAGGATGGTAATGACACATTGGCACAAAAAGTAGAAGACATAGCCATTGGTAGCAGAAGTCTCAAGTCACAGAACAGAATGGAAAGACTTGAAATAGACCTTAGACACAATAATATCACAATAGCAACAATAGGATCCAATAGAAATTGGATTCCAGGGACTGGAGGTTTAGCTCAGCGGCATAAGCGCCTGCCTTGCAAGCAGGC